TTTTTTGACGTAAACGTTCTTAGGATAAGAAGTAGAAAAATGACTTCGGAATTCTCTTTGATTTGAAGGCTGATTTGCGCGTTTTGAGATAAGGTCTAAGATTTGATTATGAAAAGGATCGGTAAAAAAATGAACAACATAGACTTTGTTCATGAATTAAAATTATGACATTAAATTTATTTTTATTTTACGTGTATTTTTTATAAAAAAAAATACCGTCACGAATTATAAATTTATAGTATGAATTATTCAACCAGTATTTTGCCCGAAAGAAAAATGACATTTACCTCTTTAAAAGCTTATATTTTTAATTATATATATTTATCACTTTTATGCTCGAATAGACATTCATTCAAAATTAGAAAACGAGAGCACAAACTACAACAAGCTCTATTTTTCTTTCACTTTCTACTGTTTTAGTTTAAATATTGTCTGTGGTCTCTATTGACTCGATCGTTTTCCTACCTTTATGTGAGAATAAACTAATCCCCATAAATTCAATATATAATCAATTAAGTATGACAAGCCGACAAGGATGTTTGGTTGTGATCTCGCCAAAGATATGCTTTTACTTCTACACTTTGAAAGCTATTTGTTGTGTGTTGAATATTTTATGGTGGAATCAATTAGGAAACTCTACATATATAGGAATCACATTTTTATTTGCTTAACGAATGATTTTCGGATTAAATGTTAATGATCACCACTTTGGTAAGTAATCTCCGAGAATAATAAAATTAGAGGTTAAGAAGTGGCTAGCTTTTCAACCATCTTGACAAACTGGGAAATTAGTTACTTGTCTAATTGCCTTTTTTAACTTTGCTTGAAACTAATTGGTAAAAGTGTTTACCCTAATCTCTTTTAGCTAGAAATTTTCCCGGAAGCTATCAAAATTGCACTGGATTATTTTTCTTCTGAAATAAAATTCATTAAGAGAGAACTAATTAATTCTTTTTTCTCCACGATGTTTAGAATTGATATTGTCATTCTTGCTTGGGGAACACACTCTTGTCTACGTGATCGTTTGCCAATCCTAAAACATTATTAATTGTTGCATTACAAAGTCAACGAAAAAAAAAAAAAAAAAAAAAAAAAAAAAAAGTTGCATCACAAAAGGAAATATACCAAGATGGCAGAAGAAGATGATGATTCGTATTTCTCTTCCGAGTTCCACAACAATAATCAAAAGCTAGGCTTACATCATACAGCTGTGTTCTGATAATTTCCCATAAAGTTATCTCCACGTAATCACCAATTTAAAAATTGGAGATAACCCATTTTATGCCCTTCCATGAGCTTCCACTGATGACTCATCTTCTATAACTTCCCACTCATCTTCTAGAATTTCAGATTCTTTTTGCTTCCACGTCTTATTCTAGCTTGTGCTGATTTTACTAATTCTCTCTTAAACAAAATAATATATAGTTACGAGCAATCCTATTCATCCAGTCAGAATTATACTTATCGAGTCACTATGTGAGGCCATCCATAAATAATTTGGTAACGGTGAATATCTCATAATTTATTTAATTCGTTAATTTGAATCAAAATGTAATTTTATATAAAAATTTTATATTATAATAAAAAAATTAAATATAATTATTTTTAAAAATTTTTATTATAATAAAATTTAAATTAATAAAATAAACGGACTTGTACTACTTATTAAAGTTTTTATGGCTGAAAAGATGTTTCTGAACAAAGCGCCTTTCTTGACTAACTGCACGCCGGCATTAATCGGTAATTATTACGTTGCAATTTGCAACTTATCATATTGCACATGTGACAATATATATACCACAAAGGTCTATAGATTTTGTTCCAAAAGAAATTAATGGCATATTCTAGCCGGATATGGAAGGTCTATAGACTTTGTTCCAAGAAATTATTAGGAATTTAATGTGTAACATTCTTGCCTTTTAATGTTGACTTAAAATCACAACAGAATAGATTGGTGGCTACGTCTCCTTCCTTTGCCTAAGATTTCCTCTTAAAGATAAACACAAACTCCATTGGTGTGTGAAATAGACAGTACATAATTATCTTATTGGGACTTTTAGGAGCTCAAAAGTCATTGCTCTATATATCACGTGTTTATTTTGTTCCTAATTCATATCATACATCGAATCTAGTTACATTTGTTTGAAAAATGGATTAATAAGCCATTTTAAAGGCTTATTTTAAGCCCATATTAGAATGAGTCTAATAAGTTTTTAGAACGAGTCTTGATGAATAGAAGATCAAAATCGAATATTCATACACTTAAAATGGATATTGGGTGAATAAGAAATTGATGTTCTAAATATGCCACTTAAAATGGTTAAGGTAGTTAGAAATTGTAAAAATCCCACCATGGCTATGAATGAAGTTTTAGTGGTGTTTATAAGTGATATCACTTTGAAGCCTAGGTAAGCATGTATACCAGAGAGGCTCTCTCATGCGCAAGGGGAGGGGTACAAATCACAGTCCCGGCGGGTTAGGGGCCCAATGTGTGCGCCCGCGACATGCGGACATGAATGTCGGACTGAAAAATTCACTATGTGCGGCCTTTATTTTGCAATTTTATTTTTTTTATTCGGCCCAAGACCTTCCATATTCAGCGAAAACCGTTTGGCTTGGGGTTAATGAGCTTAATGGTGGTTAAAATGGGCTTAATGGTATGCTTAATGTCGAGCTTAATGGTGCACTTAATGGTCGGTTATGGCATCAGTTTTGCTTTCATAAAAACTCAAACCTAGCAGAAGTTGATTTTGGGACTGAAAAGTAATATCAGACTAAGCCATTATTTGTTGTGCCATATTTCATATATACTATACTTTGTGGCAAATTTCTCACCAAGTATATCATATGAAAAATTTAGCATTTGATTGCTATTAGTTGAAATATTTACCTTTTCATGTAATCAATGCAACTTTTATATTTTCTAATTATTTTAAACATCAAAAGTATACTTTTATAACTTTCAAAGTTTATAATTATAGAAAAAAGTAGATTTAACATTTCAAATAGCATTATATATCGGAACAAAAATGAAAATAACATACCATATCACACTTTTTAATGGTAAATATACAATTAATATTAGCATTTGCATTGGAGATGGTCTAAACTTGTATTATTTGCTGTTACCATTGCTATTTCAAAACTATTGGATAACTCTCAGATTTAGTATTAGACAGAAAACATAAATTCGACAGTAAGACGAAGTAATACAAAAATGTGAAACTATAAAGGCAAGTCATTGTGGAATGTTTCACACTAGCACTTATGCGTATGGGAGAGACGAGTTACCTCTTTGGAGGCGTTCTTCTGCGATTGTCTTCAGCATACCGAATCTGGGTCCATGCATGAATTGGTTGTGATCTCATTCTAGAGAGATGAGTTACCTCTAGAGGCATTATTTCGCAAATGATCTCCAGCGGACCCTGCGAGTCCACCAATATACTATCTTTTAGTTTCCTTTGGAGAACCCTGTGAACCTCTAGAGGTGTTATCTAACGATTTGTCTACGAAGGATCTTGAGAATCTGAAGAGACATTGTTTGTGTTGGTTTCAGGAATCTATGGAGCGACAACCATGCGGATTGCTCTATCGCAATGTTGTGATGCAACATGCCAAATACGATGATTGTTCGCTTGGACTATCTCGCTACGTTGCACAGCCCTCGCGACCAACGAGGCTAATGTTGACGACCATTTTTGTATTAGGCCCGTACAAGGGTCCACGCCCAATGATTCTGTCCCGTGATGAGATTGTGCTCGATTCGTGGATCCAAGCCACGCTCAGGGAACTCGCGTGAGCCGTGGTTTGGTGGACTATGGGTAATCGAACGGACCCATTTATTTCTTAGTTTGATCCGATTTTAAGTCTCGCTTAGGGATTTTAAAATAATTGGGCTAAGAAATGAATGAGGGATGGAAAAGCCAACCCTAAAATCCTATGTTTTTCTTTTAGAAGTCTTAGAAACTCTTTTCTCAGCCTTTGGAGACTCAAAGTCTGAAATTTATGTTGTGGAACCTTCCTTTCTGACGCCAAATGAGAAGTTTTTCCGCTCTGGAGCAACTTTCTCCGGAGCTGGTAAGGATTCGTCTTCGTGATAGTTGTTGTTCTAAGGCGTCACTGTGGATGCCCCCACGGAGGCATCACTGCAGATGTCACCATGGAGATACTTTCCATGCTCCAAGAAACTTCTCTGTGACCAAAGATACCTTCTATGATCCGAGAGATTCCCTTTGTCTGAAGGTTCTTCTCGTGCCTCATAGAGATTGAATGTGTCAGGTGCTCCAGCGGCGGTTGTTTAGCCAAAATCAAAAGGTTGCGTCTGGAGCTGGTCTAGCATGTGTTCAGACCTTCAGAAATAGAAACGCCTCCAGAGCACTAAATTTAGTCAAACACTTCATGATCTCTAGACATGGGGAATGTCCAATGTCAACAAGAATTCTGAATTTCGTCTCCAAATACACCTTATTTTGGCCAATTTGTTTGTCAAAGAGGAAAGTCACCTGATGCAAGTGCTCTGGAGGGAAATGGTTTGTACAAGCCTTTGACAAGGTATGATCATACGGCTCCAGAGCAACTGTCAAAACTTCCAAACTTCTCCTATAAATACCTTTTAACTTGTTCATTTCAAGGGAGACCCGGGCCAGGGAGAGCTCTTTTGGGACTTTTGAAAAGTTTTTCTAACATTTGAGTTCATCCTTTTGAGAGTTGTTCTTCAAATTTATGCTCTTCAAGTTTGAAGTTCTTTATAGAAATTTCACTCAAAAAGTCTCAAAATACTTGATGAAACGATGACATTAAAATTGAATGTATACTTTTTAAATATATCTAAAATAGAAGATACACAAAGGTAAATAACCCAAAGAATGATGACCAAACGCAACTTCATAGATAGTTTGGGGACCAATTTGACAATTTACATTACCATTCCCGATTTTCCCATTCTCTCTCCACATTATCATTTGGCAATTTACATTACCATTCCCAACGTGGCAGTTTACATTACCATTCCCAATTTACTCATTCTCTCTCTGCAATTTTCTCTCTTCTCTCTGCCTTTAGCCACGGAAAATCATAATCTACAACGACTCTCAAAGCCGCTCCACTTATTTCTCTCAAGAATTGCTCCGAAATTTTTGTTGCAAGGCTTGCAAAGTCGATTTGGTCAGCGTGGATCACTTGATAGGTATGTTTGGTAGTAATTTTTAAAGTTTAAAATCAAAATAAAAATTTGTGTTTGAAAAAAACTATAAAAAGTGATTCTTAAAGAATTCACAGTCAAAATTAAAAGCAGCTCAAAGACAATTTTAATTTATAAATTATGCAACAATCACTTTGAAGTATAATTAATGAAATTTTCATAATATCCATAATACCCTTAAAATTAATACTTGTATAATTACAGTTTACTAAATACTTAACTATTTTTTGTAACAGCTATTTTTTTCAACACATCTAACAATAATTATTTAACCCATAAGGTAATCTCTCTTTTTTATTTTAGGTTTTTTATTTTAATTTTCTTCCTTTCTTCTCGTACTTATTTATTTATTTTTACTGAGTATAGTTTTCTTTATTGTTCCAAAAAACATGTTTGGACGAGTTTTTCTTTTTTTTTTTCCTTGCATTGTTGTTGTTGTTGTTTTTTTGCCCGGAAGAAGTGAAAGATTCATGAGAAAAAAGTGGTCCAAACGTACTATCTTCTGTTTCGTAGTTTTTTTTTGCTTTTTTTTTTTCCCAGTGAGTGGAGTTTTTATGGTTTTATTTATTTTTTTCGAGGAATAGGATTTGCTGTGAATACTAAAAACGATATATATTGTATTTTCTGATTTTTTTTTTATATCCTGTTGCTACGTTTCTTTTTCTAATCTATTGCTTTTTTTTAATTATTATTTATTTATAGCTTTGTTAATCAATTTATTTGTTTATTTGCAGAATGGATGGCATCTATTCGAGAAAGCGTAACTCATTAAATATCTCTTTTCAATCTCTTATTACTTTAATTTTCATCTTAAAATTACTATTTTTATTATTTTTCAGTCTCCAATTTCATTATAACGATTATTTTATTGATTTAACTGTTTACAGCACCAATGTCATAGCTGATGTGGGGAGGTATTAACATCAAAAGAGTCCCCGCAAATATGTGCACCGTTGTCAACATATACTGCAAATATTGCCGCCTCAAAGTGGGTTGGCATTTTCGTAGAGTATATTTTACGTGTTCATTACCCTCTTTTTTTTTTTTTTTTTTTTTATAAAAAATGTAATCAATTACATGTATTTCAGGTTGAATTTGAAGTTGGTCCGAGAAATGTGGTACAGAACTGCCATTTGGTGTTTTTCAAGTAAAACTCTCAACCCACATCGGAAGTAACATTATTCTTTTTTGGGAATTGTAGTATATGCCACCCTTTAAACCTTTGGATTGAGTTCTGCCACCCTTGAAAAGTTCTTGGCATAAATGATACATTATGTTTTTTTTTTTTTTTTTTTTTTTTTTTTTTTTTTTTTTTTTTTGCATTTTTCACGTAAATAAATTTATGCAAACAAAATGCATCCTTTGTTTTGGTTTTTTTGTTTTTTTTTTTAAGTCGTCTATTTCATGACAGAGAGTGATGCTGCTTTTTAGTCGTTCTATCTCCTAAGATAACCAATTTAATCATCTTAATCCTATCAAATCTTAATCTGTCCCCAAGTCAACAATCAAGATTTGAGTCTCGATGGTCGCGTCACCACCCAAAATTCCTACATAATTAAATATCTGTACATCTTCAAATTAATCTATCGATTTATAGGCTAAATCACTATTTGTAGTGTAATTTTTTTTTTCATCCCTGCTTTAACTAATTTACCGGTTCTATTCCATTACTGTTTTCCTTATGTTTTAGGTGGTGATATGTTTTGAGACCCTCCAGTGTTTTGCCTGTTGAGTGGCCCTCGGCTGTGTGCTGTCTGGTGGTTTACTATGAATAAAACCTCTCTTTCAGCCGAAATAATAAATAACATCTCAAATCAATACAATCAAAATTTCATTTCTTCAAGTGTTTCGTTACTAATTGTCCCTGCAAGTCAGTTCTTAGTCTCATTGCTGTTAAAAATATTGTCCATACTTTTCCATTTTTCCTGATTTTTCTACCAAATGGAATTTTATTGATTGTAATTCGTGACTCATCATACATAATTGTTTCTTAAATCTCATTTTTCTGGTATGACTTTTTCTTTTCCATCTTTTATTTGATAGAGTTGATGAGAGGAAATTAAAAGAAAAAAAGTTTCACTTGAAAGAATGAAATTGTACTTGTATACTGTTTTGCATACTGTTTTGAAATAATGAAAGGGAAATAGTAGGGAATAGACCAATATGAAAAGTTTAAGAAAGTATATAGACAAACTTTTAGTTATAGAAATTAATAGGTCATAACTTGTCAAGTTATGGTTCATAACTAGATAAGTTATGGACAAACTTGTCAAGTTATGATTCATAGTTAGATAAGTTATGGACAAAAATCGGGAATAATTTGTCAAGTTATGGTTCATAACCAGACAAGTTATGGACGAAAACAATAATTTGGCCTATTTATTAAGTTATGTAAACTATTAGCCTATTAATTTTAATTCATCTCTTGACCTAGTTTTCTCTTTCTCCTATAATGAAATTACAGGTTTGACGAAAGTGTTCACGGTGTTCCGCCCTATTTGTGGGCTGGAACAAGTAGTGGGCTTTAAGCCCAAATGGCAATTGAAAAAAAAAAAAAAAGAAGAAAGAAGTTTGCTCTCGCAAGCTTAACTCGCGTGCAGCATTAACAAAAGAAAAAAAGCGCTGCCGTGAGTTACAGCCGAGAGAAAACCATAGAAAGAGAATGGAGAAAAAGGAGAGAGAGAAAGAGAAAAAGAGTAGGGTTTTGGTGCTTGTGTAAGATGATTGGGTGACAAAATATTATCCGTTTCGGCTCAAATTTGATGTGGAGAATCCTTATGGCGAGCTCTTCCAATCTACCGAACTTGATTTCTCATTTAGCATCTCTTTAGTACTCTCTTGAGTACTCCTATTTTGGTGAGACATAAGCTTTTCTTTGGTGTTATTGTTATTATCCATCTTTGATGATGATGTCTATTGTAATGACTGAGAAAATTCCAGACCTTAAATAATACAATTCATGTATTTTTAAGCCAAGAATTTTCTTAGAAAATATTATGTTATATTGTGAATGGAGGATTTATGGAATTAATATATGTATTCTTAAATTCTATAGCAAATTTCATGTTAAGTTAATGTTTCGATCAAGTAAATTCGATCGATAAATTCTCGCCGTATTTTAAGGCGGAATAATTTTCAGTACAAGTATAGTTTGAGAATCTTAATTTCAAGAATCTCTAAGCACAGCACGATGTTAGCGGCGTATAAAAAAA